AAAGCACATTATTATAGTTCTTGGTGCTTATTATCTTATGTAATTCCAGAAAGGTTCCATCATTTTACATGACCACTGGTAGGTGTGTTTCCAATTTCTCATGACATCATAAACACATGCCTAACACTCTCTTTGTTGGTGGTGGTGGTAGTGGCTCGTTTTGCTTTTAACTTTTGAAGAAAATTTCTGGTCTTCACTATTAGCATCTTATTGACACCAAGAGAACACAGACTAAGTTCTGACATAACCAAAGAGAGGACAGACAACAAAATAAGACACTTGGGCCACCTGTGTATAATATTGCCTAAAAACAGGGACCTCAGTCAGACTTCAGCACCTAGTCCAAGGCCTCTGCACATAGTTGCAAACACAAATCTTCAATCACTGCAAATCACAATCTAGCTCAATGCTGGGCCATAGGAACTGTTTCAATGCACATTTGCTGAGTAAATGAAAAGATATCTGTTAATCATATTTATCACTTTTTCAAAAGAGAAGGAAAATAATTACAATTAGAGCAGTTCCTGGAATTAAGAAGGTCTGTTACAAAAAAAACCAATCATCTATGCCCAAACAATGCCTGATCCTATTTTTGTAATGAGTGGCTTTTGCAAACCTGAGTTTTTCCTCACCAATAAACAAAGGAATGACATTTTCAATGACTTACATCAGGGAAAGAAGGGCTTTCTGAATTATGCTAACATCTACTATAAGACAGAAATCTAATGCAAGATGCATCAAATGAGGACAAAGTCTCTGGAGAGCAGATCCAGCTGGCACGTTGATGCCATGTAGCGTAGAGCGCATGCCAGCATTTCCATTACAAAAATCTTATGATTCAAAGCTGTGGCAAATTGAATAAATAGCTAATAATTAAGTTGTTGCCCTCTCTTATTCCATAAAAATAATTTAAAAATTAAATTGTACACATAGATATGAGAGAGTTATGCCCCTGGCACTGTTAATCAGTTTGGAATCTACAAAGGACTCCGTAATCCCAAACCCATTTTTCTGCGCTTATCTGAATTTCACTATTTTTTATTGTGCTATTGTTCTTCTTATTAATATTATTGCTTTTCAGGGGGAAAATTCCACATCTTAGAATCATAAATATCAGAGTTAACAAGATGCTGAAAATAATCTAGTCCATACTCCCCCAATCTAAAAATAAACTGTGCCTCAGAAAAGTTATAAATGGCAGAGCTCAAGATGATGGAAATAATGACTTAATTTCATCCGCTCTCAAATCCCATCAGAGCTTTGTTTCTGTTTAATTTATACACAATTGCCTTTTATTAGAAGAATATAAAACCATGAAATATACTAAGCATTTGTCCTTAGGAAGAAGAACTTTATAGTGTCAATTTATATTAAGTAAAATCTTACAGAAACACAAAGCTAGCTTTTTTTGTAGACACAGACAATGTCATTTAGGTATCAGGAGACAATACAATTGAATCTTGAAACTGAAAGGAATTTTAAGTATTTTCCGGTAAAACCACTTTTACATATGACGTGATTAAAGACTACAGAGGTTGTTATGTATAATGTCACCCGATTAGAGGGGCAGAGCCAGTATTTCCCAGCCTCTGACTCAAGGGTCTTTCTGTTATATCAAGCTGACTTTTCTAGATTATAGTCTGGTACAGTATCTGCTATTTTAACTTACAGCAATCTTCAGTGTTATAAAATATCAATTCATGACCCTTGCAGTTTCTAAGGCTGTGCCCTATGGTGCACCTATTTTTTTCAGTCTCCTGTCATAGTTAAAAGTAACTTTTTTCTCAAAGTCTACCAGGTCTATTGATTTGAAAAGGCAAGACAAAAATACCACAAACCTGGCCCCTTATGATAAAAGACGAACTAAGTACTGAGCAGTGAAATAATGCTGAGGACACAGGCACCCCTGTCACCAACGACCAGGTGAAACTTGCTTTTGTTCATGCCTCCTTGCTGCCTCCCGCCACTTGTCAGACCCTTTGGACTGGCTTATCCACGTGAAGGCTAAATCCTTATACTGAAGCCTCCTGGAATCCCACCCCTTGGTGCTACAGTCTTAGCACCCTCCTCTGCCATTGTCTGTAAGACTTCAATTAAGCTAAAGCCCTCTTGGGGCCTCAATTGGCTCATCAGTAAAATGGCAGTGTTCTCTCCAGCCCTAAAATGCTGTGGTCTAAGATTTAAGGGACAGCTACTCTCATAGAGGCAGAGGGAGAGATGAACTCGGGTGGCCTCTTGACATACCCCATTTGAATCCTGCCCCTGCTCTCTTTTTCTCTACTCAAACCGAGCCAGCCTGCGGGCGCAGAGTCACATTTTAGAGTGCGTGGAAGAATGTTTGAGTGGAAAGAATTGCATGATTGCCACCAACAACTGGAGGAGCTGGGGAAAGACGGGCAAAAGACAGAAAAAGCAGAGATGGCCAGGAACACAGCAGGGAATGTGGGTGGAAGGGCTGACTCACGCCTCATATTAGATGAAACGTTCTTAAGGCACAGGCTCAACCCTGCCAGGACAAATGTTAGGAAAGTCATATAAATGCTTGATGAAATGCTATCAATAAATACTTTGCTGCTGCATTACAGTGATTTGGGGCAGTTCCGTAAAGAAGATTTGCTGCAGCCTACCCAAAGGATGGAACACAAAGCAAATCTATAAAAATCTCTTCTGTGTGTTGTCCTGGAAGACTTGTACAAATTATGATCTCTGCTTGCACAGCAGTGAGAGACACACATAACTATGGAATCACCATCTGGAGCTAGACTTATAAACTTCACTTCCTGGCTGTGCCCAAGCTCAACCAGCTATTATCTAGCTCATCCCATTGCTTAGATCACAACACCACACTACTCTAGGGGGCACCTGTCACATTTGCACTCACCATAAATCTGTAAATTTATCATGACAATTCCTAGTAGATGACAGTACAGGTTTTGAAGAAAGGGCAGCAAAAGGATGATATGGACTAGTGGCAGGACTGCCCATTCCGAATCCACATAAAAGCACATTATTGGTATCAGTGCACAGAAGAGCATTGAATTTATGCTTATATTACCTATGCTCTTATTAACTAAAATCCACCCCAGCAGTGATAATGCCATAGCTCTATTCAGGGTGCCTAGATCTCCCACCATTGTTATCAAGATGACAGACAGCCTTAAAAAAGTAAAAATACCAATTAACTGTGAGACCTCAGAAGTAACTAAAGTCCATATTCCCGCAGTGATCACCTACAGAAATTTTATTGTTTGTCTGGAAAATCTCAAGAATGCAATAACCTCCCTCCCAGGCTCACTGGAGGCTTCTAGAGAGCTGTGGCAAGCCTCAGAATTGGGAATAACCTGCCTAGGGGTGTCACCACTGTCAGAAAGGGGGAGACACAATCCAGAATCCAAAACACTGCTGAAGGCAGTATTCACACACACAACACAAATCTGGAGCATTTCAGGAGGTAGGATGAAGAACTGGATCACCCAGCAAGGGTAAGAAATGAGGTCCCATCTGTGCCTCATCTAAATAGGTCACATTGAATGACTCCACATAGCCACAAAATGTTAACGATTCCGTCTTAGTCTCAAAACTGGATTATCCTTTTGATGTTCTTTTTCAAAGTCAGGTTTTTTTTGTTTTTTTTTTTTTGAGACAAGAGTCTCACTGTGTTGCCTGGGCTAGAGTGCCGTGGCGTCAGCCTAGCTCAAAGCAACCTCACACTCCTGGGCTCAAGCGATCCTCCTGCCTCAGCCTCCCAAGTAGCTGGGACTACAGGCACGCGCCACCATGCCCGGCTAATTTTTTCTATATATTTTTAGTTGTCCAATTAATTTCTTTCTAATTTTAGTAGAGACAGGGTCTCGCTCTTGCTCAGGCTGGTTTTGAACTCCTGAGCTCAAACAATCCGCCCACCTCGGCCTCCCAGAGAGCTAGGATTACAGGCGTGAGCCACCGCGCCTGGCCTTAAAGTCAGGTTTATTGAGGTATAGTTTATATAGAGTACATTTCACCCACTAGTGCCCAATTCTATGGGTTGGAAAAACTTATACATTCAGGTAACTGCCAGCACAATCAAGATATAAGTTTCATCATTCCCAAAATTCTATCATGTCCCTTTATACTCAACCCTGACCCCAGCCCCTGAAAACCCTTGATTTAATAAAGCCAGACTGTACTGTAATACAAATTTCCACACTGTTTAGGCTTCCCCTTAAACATTTACCATATTTCATTGATTCTAAGACATACGCATCCCCATACCAGATTTGAACACTCTGAAATCAGAATGTATTTTATAATCAATAGCATTTTACATTATAATTGGCAATGATTTTTGTTTTTAGAGATACGTAAAATAACAATGTGTCTTATAATCTATGGTACTTTTTTAAAAAGCCAATGAAGTATTAACACAACATTAAGTCTTTTATTTCATAACATTCATTGAATACTTATATATGCTAAGCATTCTTCTAGACATTGGAAATACAAAAAAGGAAAAAAAAAAAAAGTGTCCTCAAGGAACTATCACTTGAGGGGAGGAGACAGATAAACAAGTATAATAAAATGCGACAATGTCTATAGTAGAGGTTATCCATTCACTAGGACCAAGCAAAATTATCTCTAGATTGGCCTCTGTTCTTTTAGGAAAAATTTCCTCCAAATCATATCCTTCCTTGTACACAGGAAATAAGGATGAAGGCAGTTACCATTCAGCTTCACTCTGCTCATTCCAAGAATGAGTTATTGCCATACCATCTGACATATTGCCCAGCAATAATCCAATTATTTTTTTCCACACTAAGCTGCTGTAGTAGAGATGTCTCATTTTAGTGTTCAACAGCTGCAAGGCTTTTATGATAATATCGAAGAGAAGTCACTGAAAATAACTGCTCAGTTTGTGAAAGGCAGATGTCCCAAATCCTTCACAGACATGTTTCAAGGTCCCCAAATTCTTCCCTGGACAACTTTCAATGGGCAATGTAGAGAAGAAAAGTTAGTGCCCTTACCTGGTTCTTGAAAGTGTTCCTCATTTGATAGAGTTCTAGACAAGATAAGTATTAATGCTTCTTTAAATTGATCAAAGTGTACCTAAAAAAGCAATTAGAAATAAATTTAAAATCATTTCCACAGCCCTAAGAATGCAAATCTATCTACAAGGTATCAGAACTGTTTGTTCCCACCCTGACAGCCTTGCAGTGTGAGTCATAACCCATTTTGTTCCCTTTTTCTCCTCATTTCTTTAAAGCACAGAAGGGAAAATGGCTGATCATTTTTGACATCCAGTGCCATAAACACTAATATCAGCATTGATATTTATTCAACCCCCAAGGAGAAAAGCTACATAGCAAAACCCTCCTTATAAACTCAGAGAAAGTTATCTTTTAACACATAGTTATGTCTTATTTAACATATAGTTTTAACACATAGTTCCTTTTATTTTTCTGAACAAAACCAGAAGAGAAAGACATTAGGTTAGCTATAAGGAAAAACTTCCCTAGTAAATGATCCATTGTACTGGTGACCCACAGATGCTTTCATCTCTTAAGATATTCTAGAAGGGAGTAAGCTATCTTTTGAGGATGACTTGAATACAGTCTTGCCTAGGGCAGATATATAATATTTATCTCCCAAGGCCCCTATGATTCTATAAACAAGCAAAAATCAATAGCAAACACAAAGGATAAAAAGAACCTTAAGAAGCATTTTCCTGAATTCTTACAAATACAGTTATTTTGAGTGAAGTGGGAAAGAATCTCAGTTTTATTTAAGTGAATAGAACTGGGATATTATTATACTTTGGTTAAAAGAGTAGAACAGTTTTCTTTATGATCAAGTATATTCTTCTATAACTTAAATTTATGTGATCTCACCATGGAGCTGGAGGGAGAAATGATATTTCTTCTCACCATAATTCTAGTTTGAAAATGTGGCACCTATTTACACAGAACCCCTATGTAAATATAAATATAATTTTGATAAATTTGTAATTTGTGCTTCCATGGGTCTCTTTTGATGTCATTACAAAATATTGTCTAGAGGTTTAAATATAGGTGACACATAAAAATCACTTCCAAATTAAATTTAGAAAAGCAGCAAACCTCATTAGTTATTGAAACAGTGGAGAAAAAAATTGCATAATGTCTTCTCTGTGCAAATCAAAGGAGAGGAATCCATTGAGATTTACATGGCGTAAAATTGTATTTGCTTACAATTGACCACTCTCTCCCAAAGTATATGTGATTTCACTACCACATTAGTTTTGAGTAATTGAAATTACTTTCAATCATATTTCTTTTGAATTGTATGGACTTTATTTCTTAAAATGTTTAGTTATATATATTTAAGGCATACAACTTGATGATTTCATACACATTTACAATGTGAAATAATCACAATCAAGCTAATTAACATATCCATTACCTCACATAGTTACAACTGTTTTTTTTTTAATTTGCTGGAAAGAACACTTAGGATTTACCCTCCTAGCAAATTTCAAGTTAGATCATATAGACTTTAAAAATCAACATAATCTAAGGAGCCCCAGCACAATTCTGTCAGGGAGGAGGTAGGCCAGGCATTTGCTAAAGAGCCAGGGTGTATAATCAATGAAAGGGTTAAAAGACTGTAGAAATGTAGGCTGTGCTAATCAGCTTTCACACCTGACAAATCACAGCAAAGCCTCCGGGAGGGAGGAGCCGCCAGGTCCTGCTATTGTTCCCAAGTCAGAGATGGGCTTCGCAGGGCAAGGCCATCTTCCCAACCAGCCAGTTCACAACATCACATACCCAAGAACTCTGCCACTCAGGGCCCCTCGACAGGCATCTACTAATTCCTACCAGAATCATTCCTTCTTCTCAGGACAGGCAGGATAGGGCAATGCCCCTCACTTTCTGCTGTGAACTGGCTAAATTACTAAACTTCTCCAAGTTTTAGTTTGCTCTTCGATAAAAAATGGGGATATCTATAACAACTGATATTTATTATTCACTCAATGAATATTTACTGAGCAGCTACTCAATATATGTGCCAGGCAGTGTACTAGGCCCTGGTGATATAGTAGTTAATGAAAGTAATGAAAATCCCTGCTGCCACAAAGCTCAGACTCTCCAGAAATATCACAGAAAGTCAGGTGCTGTCCTAAGAGCGTTGTGTGCATCTTAGGTTATTTACGATACCACCTCCCTGTGTTAGGGAGACAAAATGAGAATTACGTAAAGTGTCTAGAATGTCCTGTGACTTACCAGGTATCCAGCAAGTGGTAGTTAGTACTATATTAATAGATATACTAGCAGGGGTGACTGTTTCCACCACTTTTTCAGAGAAACAAGGCCATATTTTCAAGCAAAGCAACTGGCTACGGAGTGACTGAGATAGCCCCGTGAGAGTGGTGGTGGGCAGCAGGAGGAGGTCGCGGGGCCTGCCTGCTCCCCCAGGACCTGTGGCATTGCACAACATCAGAGAAACCGATCCGGTTTGCTGTGTTTAGGGACCACAACTCTGGGTTTCTCCTCTCTCTTAGGATATTAATGGAGGGACATGAATGAAATCTAAGTCTCCCCTTGCTACAGTTACAAGTTGAACATAAAGATGCTACCATCTCAAAAGGGAGGTATTTGTCTTGTGAATTTCAAATCCTTTACACTTCTCTCTGTGGGTCTCCCCTGGGTCTTCTAAAGGTGTTAGTTTTGATAGAGGCAATTGGAAAGAGCCCTTCTGAATCTGGTCTTGATATAGTTCAATTCAGGGAGTATTAGTTGTGAGGGTCACTCAGGGGTCTATGTACCTCAACTTCACTCCCCCTGACAAATGACAAAGACACCTATAACCTGGTATTAATTCTAGTCAACTTCTGAGGCTTTATATGAGGCCTCAGGATCCCCTGAACATGGCATAACACACGCTAACTGTTGCGACAATATAAACCTCATTTATATGGAAGTTGTTAATCTCACAGCCTCAGCTATCTACAGTCCAGCAGACAATCAGGAAACAAACAAATGGGGTCAAAAGCTGAGGCAGGTATCATAAAACCCATTTGCTCTTCTCATAGAAAATGCCACACAACCAACTCAAATATACATACATAGATATTTGTATATATATTTATTTAAAGAGACAGGGTCTCGCTCTGTTGCCCAGGCTGGAGTGCAGTGGCCTGATCCTAACTCCCTTACACTTCTGCCTGGGCTCAAGCGATCCCCCCACGCTTCAGCCTCCCAAATAGCTAGGACTACAGGTGCATACCTACACACCCAGCTGATTTTTAAAAAATTTTTTTGTAGAGATGTGATTTCGCTATGTTGCCCAGACTGGTCTTGAACTCCTGGGCTCAGCAATCCTCCTGCTTTAGCCTCTCGAAGTGCTACATGGCTCTCTAATGGTGGGCATGAGCCACCACGCCCAGCCTAGGATCTATATATTCTTACTCCACCTGATTTATCATAAACTTCATGATCTGGCTTCACAACCCACTACAGATTAGAAACAGCAAATAAAAGACAGGGGCACACCAAGGTAAGTACAAGAAATAACTCTCAACCTATGAGATTAAGAAAAGACATTAACCACCCTCCTTCAAACAAAAATAAAGCAGAATATTTTTTATACTTTAAAAAGCTATTTTAACAATCCCATTTAAAACACTATGTAAACCATTTAAAAAAAGATGACACACGCACTCAAAAACCTAATAGGCGGGGGCTACTTAGTGTTGGGGTACGGATCCATATGCTGCTAATGAATCCTGAGGGCACTGCTATCACTATAAAGAAGAAAAACTGATGGAGCAAAAAGATTGTAAATGATCTAGAACAATCTAATTATGTTTAATATACTCTTTCACAGGATGAAACTTTAAAAAAATTTTTTAATCCCCAGTGGTCAACTTTTTTTTTATTTTTTGGGGTCTGCCACTAAATGGGGTAAAAGATCAGTTATCAGAAAACTTTGTTAGCGTGGGTCCTGGATAATGCTAGATGACTGGGGGCATTATTGCAGGTTCTCTCTTTCCTAGACATTTTGTCATGTACATCTTACAACATGTATGTGAGATGATCGAGGCAGAGGCTCCACCCCAAAACTGAGGGAGAGAGGCTCAGAGAAGGCATATGCCTCGCCCAAGGCCACATGTCTTGGAAGCGACGGAATTACTCAGAGAACCAGGCCTCTGACTGGACTCATCAGAGCCCGGCAACCCTGCCTGGCCCAGACTCACTTCACTCTTGGTTTGACCTGTGTAAGGCGCACACCAGGCATCAAGCAGTATCAGGGGATAGAAAAGATACATAACCTCTGCCCTCAAAGACTTTATCAGCTACATTCTAGATTCTAGAAACTTTCTAGAGGGTGGAAAGGCAAAAGACAGGAAAGTTTATTAGTAATCACAAGGCAGAACCTGATAAGTGCCTTGACAGAGACAGACACAAACTGGTAGGGGCTTCTGATGAATTAGCAAATCCCACTTGGCCGGTAAGGGAGGAAAATAGGAACAGTTTTGTGACACTTGACTTCTCTAAGATGTCCACAGGCATAGGTTAAAGGTTTCCAGAATGAACTTATGACATAGTAAACCAGCCTCATTTCAGAGTAAAAAGGGTTCTATAAAAGACTAAACATAACTATTAACTCCAAGGTTCTTCATAATCCAGTAATGTCTATCTAGTTGACCCCCTCCTTCCCTAACAAAAAAATTAAAAAATCCAGACACCACTCAGCAGTTGATCAAAACCATTGGAGCAGCTTGAAGTCCTACTTTGATCTTTATTTTCCTTCATGTAAGGGCATGTGGACACGAGGCCCCTGGATTTAAATAGCAGTAAATGCCACATCTTTCAAAGGGATGGGTCTCTAATGGAGGCAGGTGACTGCTATTTTCCATCAGTGCTCATGAATATTGATGTGGAGAAAAACCCCCTTGGGGCACAACCCAGAACCAAAATGTTGATAAACAAACATCCTCTACTGTGAAGAACTGAGCATCAGTGGGCCCACTATGCTCAGTAACTGGAATTCTTAAGTACCATTTTTCTCCTCCAAGGGAGCTTGACTATTGTATTATGTTAAAATTTATAAATCTTCACAAATATACA